GTGTCAATACTGGTGGCCTGCCACTGCGAGGGCGTGACTCATTGTTGTTGTGGGTGTTCCATCGGGCAAGTGTTTTCTGGATGCAGCGTTGTGAACAGCCAAGTGTTGCTGCAACTTCAGAGGTCCTGCAACCTGCCTCCACTGAAGCTATCACATAATCGCGCTCGCGCTCTGATAATTCAGCACCAGGCCTTCGATTGGCTGAAATTTCGGTTCCAAAAGCTCTCATTTGTGTGGTGCAGTGTAGGGGTGAAGTTGTTCTCTACCTGGCGCAGTTCCGTTGTTGCGTTGCGCACAGGCCTTACGCGAACAGACTAAAGTCTTAGTACTGTACTGTCATGTTTTATTGTCTGCCAATATACATGCGTGACTTGCCTAGCGTACTGACATTGCATTCAGGCGAAACACACCCCCTGGTATGTGCGCTACGGACGGCTAGGACACTCCTTGAGAGAACGTGTGATGGTGTCATGTCATCAATGAGCTATTTGGAGTTGATGTGTTGTGCAAGAAGTTGCAACGTGTGAAGCTGGCTGAACGCATGTAGTGGGAGTCAGGCAAGTGAGAACGCATTGCAGACACACACAATACTCACGCTTTGACGGAGACACTGTAGAAGCAAAGGCGTTTGATATTATGCGTTCGCTAAGATCCACAATCTCATGGTAAGATCACTATTACTATTACAGTATCATCCTCTTTCGATGCATGACACACTACCAGGCCTTTTCGTTGACGTGCATCAGTGTACAGTGATCCCTGGCGGTTTAGACGCGTACGCCAGGGGCAGAGCCGGTAGCGTACTGCTCCTGAGCAGCCTTCTCCTCGGCTTTAGCAAGCTTGTTCTTGCGGTGGTGGTCCTTAACCTCATGGAAAGCGGCAGTAATTGCATGGAGCAGACTGGAATCAATGTCAGCAATCCCTTCGAACAGTAGGCAAGACAGGCAAACTCACGTGCTGACAATAGCCAAGATGAAAGTGCCCCAAGGAAGATCACAAGTGCTATCCTGAGTGTTCGTAGTCTGTCCCTGCGCAATGTTGGCAGCGTCGTTGACATTGCGGTTCGTGTAGCAGTGCCTAGGGCCCGCAGACCCACCGTTCGGTCGCGTAAGGACAGAGACGGCGATGAACGCACCCACGAACGCGATATCGAGGAGCACCCACAGCCAGCGCAGCCACTTGGGTCCAGGGTTGGCGGACTTCTTGAGCAGCGACAGGATGGTGGTGATGAGCGTGTACAGGACTGCGGCGGCGAGAATGCCTTCGACGGCGCCGAAGGAGTGGTTGACACCGCGGCGGGTCTTGATAGAGTTCACTAGGCGGTAAACTTTGTAGAGACGCTGGGAGAAGAGACCGAGTGAGATGACGGAGGAGATAAATTGCAGGATGCGGGTGAGGCGAAGGAGGATCCTGTAGAAGGCTGTGTGTCGAAGACGGGCGGGAACGAAGCGTGTGAGTAGACCGGTGGGCTTCTCGTCCTGGTAGTGCGCGTCGGCTGGGCCATCTAGAGGTTCTTGGAACCGTGCCATTGTGTGATGTGACCTACACCTGTTGTATGGGGTGGCGTGAAGATTGTTGGGTTGGCGTGAAGATTGTTGGGTTGGCGTGAAGATTGTTGGGTTGGTCCGTTGTGACGTTTTATTTGTCTAACAAAGCGTGTGTGATACTGGAATGCGATCGAGAGTGAACGTGCAGGTGAGTCGAGGTTATATAGCTCGATGACCAATTTGTTGTTTTATTGTGGTGTGTGACAGGCTGTGGTTGCCATGCTCGTCAGTGCCACGTCAAAGCAGACCTTCAGCCTGTCACCTGCAAAGCACCCTGAACACCAACAACATCGGGAAACTCGACTGTAATCGAGAAATGCTATGCCGTCACGTCCAATCACCACGTTCCTCTTAGCCGTTCCGCGCATTTCATGTTGCACGTGACGACGCTAAATGAACGTCATATGTCAATCCCTTGTTCAGGGTCGCGGTATGTCGTATGAGAACTACAGCCGCAAGGTGGCTGTATGCATCGCCGTTTAAGGATCGTTTAAGCATGCCGTGAGCCTTGGCTGGCAGAGCCAATCCTTGGTGATGTGCTCTGTTCGAATTATGAGATCGACCAAGTGCTGACGGTAGGTTCGTCGAAGCGCTCACATTAGTTCGAGTCAGGCTTCCCTGCTCTTTGTGGCAGAGACTGCGTGCATGCGGTGAGCATTCAACGTTTGAGAGGGGAGCCAGTTGAGTGTGTCGGAGTTTTGTCGTTGTGCAGGTTTGGGAGTGGTCATCGACGATGCGGCAGTCTTGACCGAAAACACGTTAATTAGAGCAAAAATGATTAGGAGTCGCAGATTTCGATCAATTCAAAGTGTGGAGGTATAACAAGCATCAACAACAGCTACTCATTCGAGCTTGTTCCGTTGCGCGCTCTGCTATCGTGCACCCTTGGCGATTGCCCACTCTTTCAAATCATCAAAGATACTTCGAGGCCAACTGTTGGTTGTGCAGACTCAAAAGCTCGCATCTGACGTAACGGGTAAGGAGGGTACTGCACCCGAAACGCAGGTGAGCGTGCTCGTGAGGCTGTGTGGCGCCAAGCCATGAAGATTTGCAAGGATGCAAACCTGCAAAACCCCTGAGGCGATCAGAAAACCTAATAACGTTATGATGAACAGCAGATAGAGTCTTCCGCATAGCCGTCTGTGCGGTGACAAGATCGTGTGTGTGTTGACAACAAGTCAACGTCATCTGCACACATGCTCTTAAGGATTGCGAAGGATTTTCAGCAAGTCGTACGATGGACCGCGACCAATCTGCTGATATGCGTCCGCGGTGCGTCCGCGGTGCGTCTTCACGATAAGATACCGTTCGAAACCAGTTGGTTTGCCTTCCATGTCAGAACAATAAGGCGTCGATGAGGTCAACGATCTGTTGGGCCCAGAAAGTTGTGATTTGAATAGGCGTTACTCCATAAATGTGGACGAGGCACCGCGGAGTGAGATGAGCTGGAAGAGCTGGCTTTGGGGAGTAGAAGTTGGCACCAGAGCACGGCCAAAGCTTTGAGCATGTGAAGTGCTCTTGTGCTGACTGTGCCGTGCAGTGATGATGATACCAGGTAGAACAGGCTGGCCATTGAGTCAACACAAGGACCGCAGCAATTACATAGTTATACACAATACGTACAGTACATGCGTCCATATTCAGCCCCAACCCCACCAACCCTTGATGGTATCCCCTATTGTTGCCTGCCCTGCTTCCTTCCTCTTCATGCGATTTATGCGCTCTTCGACGAATGTCTCCTCGACCTGCTTGGACATGCCTGTTTGTGCCTTGAGTTCGCCCAGTATCGCCATGCGTTCAATTTCCTGGTCCCTCGGCGGCAGCTTGGCAATGGTCTCCTCGTACTTCTTTCGGGCTTCAGGTTTGATCTGACTCCATATATCATCTTCTGGCTCGACCTGTGCATTGCCTTGCGCAGGCAGGGGTGTGATGGTAGCCTGCTTGCCGGCCATAGCCCGCGCGACATTGGTCTTGGACAACACGCTTTGAAACTTGGGCGGTTCCCGACCCTCAGCGTTTGCCTTCTCGATCTCTGCCTCTTGCTGGAGCATCTGCTCGTACAGCTTGTCGGCGTGCATTTGAATCCTCTCGTCCTCCTCTGGGGTCCGCGCATCCAGTGTCAGGTATCCCAATGCCTTCAAGAACTTCGACTGCATATCATAGCAGCGATTGAATCTCCTCGACTCTGCATTGCACATTGTGCCCATTGACCACCATGTCTTGGGGTTCCTGAAGCACTCAAACTGCTCCATGTATTCCAGGGCGCAGTTCTCCATGGCGATCTGTCCAATTGAAGCATTGCGGTCGTTGTATGCATCGACGAGGTCCCTCAATTTGTCCTGCTCGTTCTTCCCTCGGTCCATCAGGACATCTTGTGGTGTGTAGTTTTTCCAGAGATGTGCATAGCGGCCATCTTGAAACTGTGATTGAGGTGGAACGATTGATTTCTCGGGCTCGAGAGGTGCTTGCGTAGGCGGCGCTGGTGCAGGTGTGCTTTCGACAGGCTTCTCTTTGGTTGCGGTAGGGAGTGTAGGCTTGGGTCCTGTGGGTGCCTCCTTCTTCAAGAATTCACGCAATGACGGGTCGAGCTTGTCCGAGTCATTGCTGCTACTCCAAAGCCAGCCCATGTTGTGTGTGATGGGGAGAGTGAATTGGGTGAATGCTATAAGTGCATGCACGAATCGATCATAGTTCACCAGGTTGGCACGTGCGTCCCTGCTAGCGCGACCGCGGCATCGCAACACGCCCGCTCACACACGCGACGGCGGTCGAACCTCAAGCATAATTGTTACGCCCACTCTCGCTATGGCACCTGTTGGTAAGAAAGAGTGTTGCATCGATGAATCGAACTCGTTGCTAACAAATACCAGATCGACGTGAACACCGTCAACAGCGCGTTCGTGGCGCAGGGTAAACATTCCACATATCACCGAGGCGCAACATACTGACAAAGCCAGGGCTTCGACTGTACAGGCATCTTTTGGCTTCAACTTCGGTGCTTTAGGCGCAAAACAATCCTCTCTCCCACCGCAGCGATCTAGACGCCGCTCTCGAACACCAGTCCAAGGCACGCCGCGCAATGTGAACGGATCAGCGAAGCGGCACCACAGTCTCTCAGCACCACGCAGTGCCAAATCGCAGCGTAATGCCACGCCGAGAAATACCGCAGTCACGCCACAACTGGGGAAAAGGAAGCGTGAATCAACTGCTGCAGCTGCAGCAAATGCTCAAAATGAAGAAGAGGACGAGCTAAGCCCAGACCGCGTTGAGAACGTGCGCTCAGTTGAGAAGAGCAGGAGACTCGCCAGAACAGTCTCGCCTATACGAGAGGAGCCAAACGAGGCGCCAGACGAGCTATCGATTATAGACGAGGCACCAACCACCGCCAGAAAGATGCCAGGCCACGTAACGGGCCTGCTCTCGAACGTCACCGGCGGATCGGCGAGCTCACGTCAAAATATCTCTCGAAGGTCAAAGTCCACCGATGTTGTTCCAGTTACACCAGGAATGCAACCGCACAGTAGCTCCAGGCATTCCTTCGTGTTGTCGACAACAGTAGAGAACACTGCGTCTAACGCTTCACAAGCCGAGGATGAGGATGTGGATGAGCTCTCACCACCACACGACAACACTACTACCCCAAGGGTGGTTTCGAGAGAATCGATACCAAATGCCATACCTCTCGAGGGTGAAGAGGGGGGCATCGATGAACTTTCGCCCACGCAGGAAATTGCCTCGACTACAATAACAGCAGTCGTCAAAGGTGCACACAGTGAGACTGCAGCGACTCCCATAAAGAGTGTGGCGCGTGGCAGGCCACACAAGACCACCCAAACAAACGAGGCCAATACTCTATTTATACCAGCGGCCCAAAAGCCTAGACAAAAGAGGAGCCAGAAAAATGTGGTTGAAGAGGAGCCGACCGATGAGCAACAAGACGAATTGTCACCTGAGACAGAACGGATGACACAGGCGACTCCAAAACTCGCAAGACGAACCGAAGAGAAGGCGCATGTATCTGATGAAGAGTCACATGTGTACGAAGAGGAGCTGGAGCCTGAGGAGGAAGCTCGAGAGCCTACACCTAGACCCATCGCAAAGCGCACATCTCCTAAGCACACCCAGCGTACAAAGCCTTCCAACGACAAGCCACCACGCAAACGACAGAAATTCCTTGGCCCTAGGCTCGCGATTTCTGTAATGCGCATGGAGGGTTACGGCGTACGAGGCATCACAGTAGCGGATACTACACGTACAATACTCGAAGAAGCGATCGACCACCGTCTCGGCAGGATGTTAGAGAAGATGCAGACTGCACAGGATTCAGCGCGCCGAAAGGAGCTACGAAGCGAGGTTAATCTAGCATTGTCCTTCAAAGAAAGCCTGAACGAAAAGCTGCTGGATTTGCAAGACGCGAACGACGTCCTAACGACCAACCTGAAGAAGATGAAGGTCTTCAAGCGCGACAATGCTGAGCTGCGCAAAGACATTCTGGTTCTGCAGAATAGCCGACAGGAGATTGCTCTTGAGCATGATAACGTTCAGGCAGAATTCGAGGCAGAGAAGGCCAAGGTTGAGGCAAGAAACACTTTGAGCGCCAACATGTTCGACATCGAGGCTGCCATTCAGAATGGCCGCCAGAAGGCAAAACATGAAGGGCGAGAAAATGAAGCGCCAAACGTGTCATTAAGCATGCTTCTCGAGATGGTGAGCAGAGATGTGGGCTCGATTGGCGGTGGACTGCTTGCGAATCTGAAGAACTTCAACAGTACGTTAGAAAGGGCAGCAGGCTGGCTTGAGGGAAGGGCGTGAATGCTGGCATCTGGATACAAGCATTCTTTCAGGCGTATGGATCACGATGTTTCTAGGACGGATACCCGGCACAAAGCCACTTGCAGATATGAAATCAATGTTTACACCTTCACTGGCGATTGCATGTCGATCGAAAGGGGCCTAGCGCTATGTAATGCAGCAGGTGCGTCACTTCCTTTAGCGTCATCGATCACCCGGCCACAGACAACTTCAGATTCTCACCATCCCAGCTTTCTTGTACATCGCCGGCTAGGACTGGCTATTGACATTTATTTTACCACCACTTCTTACTGCTCTGTTCCTTTATTCATAATACTGTCATTGATCATTGACCCGGACCCGTACTGCTTACTGTCTGGGAGCGACCCACGAATCCGCCTACCCACGTTCATATCTACATCCAGTCTGCTCGAAGCCAGTCATTCGTGTGCGGAATCCATGCTGCAGTATGCGCAACCTCTGTGAGAGCCAGCAAGCCCCTCTCTGAAGAATCACACTTGGTTGCGCAACGCCGTGCTGGTACAGCGTCATACAACATTAACAACCAACCTCGCCTACACGCCCGTGCAACCACGTCAGCCTCGTGTGCTTACTTACATGGTACCATACGCTGTCAGCGTCAACAGCTTTCAGATCGTTACTCCTACACAAGCGTGGACTACCACTACTTCAATAATTGATGAGCTCTAGTGTCTCGACATGGCTCAGACAGACGGTCAATCGCGTGACGATGCAGCGTTTGCTGAAGCTTCGCGTTGTGATACAGTAGTTACCGAAACTGCCGAAATCCGGAGGATTCTGGTAGAGACAGAGACTCCTGCCTCTGCGCCGTCATCGAGCCCTACTCCGCGCAACCCTGCGAACAAACTATGGACCAAAACGTCTCAGCGCAAGGCCTACATCCAACACCTGACAAACTGGGCGTCCAATCATGATTCGTCCACCTACTTCCACGGTAGCATCAGTCTACACCCGCAAGGCACCTTTCCTCGGGAAGTAGTTCAACTGGGCAAGTCAGTCAATTGCCTCTTAACTGATGTATCTTCTGGAGATACGCCTAAAAATATTGTCATTCGCCTCTTCCAGTCGCAGCGACATGACGGCAGTGCTCAACAGCGGAAAGGGCGCGGAAGGAAGGATCCCGATGAACCATCTGATACCGCAAGCTGGAACTCGACAAGCGTGTCTTGTAAGGGGAATCATCGCGCGAGGTTGCCAACTCGAAATGGCCATTCCATTGCGCCTTATCAGCTGGTTATTCGTAGCGGGTCAAGCTGGGTACCAGCTCGCCAGTACCTTAACAACCACTACTTTGCACATCATGCCAAACCAGAGAAGGAAGTGGCTTCCCACCAACCTGCAAGTACAAGCTCAAATACTAACGCTCAGCGACCTGCTTGGGTCAATTTGACCGCCAATAATGTCAACTGGGCAATTAACACTCCACCTGCGTCGGCAGTCTTGACGACCAACACCCAACCGCCTGCATGGGCCAGTCTGACCGCCAATAATCTCAGCTTCAGCAATCTCAACTTCAACAACACTAATCGCATTGCAGAAGTCACTCGGTCCGAGCAACCTGATCAAGAGGCCTCACGCCCAGCCCATTCGAGGCATGCTGGACCCTTATCTTCCGCAAAGGACACCGTCAAGATTAGCCCGTTGTTCCATCCTTTCCTCAGACTGCCACAAGAGCTTCAAGATGAAATCCTCTACCAGGCAGTTGGCTATACGCGCGTCATCAGTCTTACTCACTCAGTCCATGTTATGCATGCTTCATCGTCGTCAGAATCGCCAATCACAATATCGAAGCTTTTCCGACTATCGAAGATGATCAGCGAGCATATGACCACCCACATCTTCCGCAGTACGAACTTTCACTTCGGCATAACAGGCTTCACGAGATTCCTATGGCAACTTGGGCCCGTCAATCGCTCCAACCTACAGCATCTTACGTTTCACTTTGGCAAGGCCTCTCTGTTGCATTGCATACGCTGGCTAGCGCCAGACCCGATCTGGGAGCTTTTCGAACCTCCAGTTGTGACCAGCCCCTCAACCTTAACATTGTTTTGGCGATGTCAGCTCCAGGACTTGATGAAGGAGGTGAGCCTTTCGACGCTTACGATCGATATCAGAGACGTACCGGTCGGGGATGTGCCTATGCTCGTCAGGATCCTTAAAACCGCGATTGGCAGGGTCGAGCGCATGCGTGTCATCGGCAACCATGTCCGCACTGGTGTCCTTATTGAGGAGTATGCTCAAGATCTACACACATGGTTAGGAGGCATGCAAGAGCCGACATGGAGGGAGCTGAGTCTGCGGTATCACACCGAGTACAATCATCAGAGGTGGCACATGAGACATATTTGGGCACTTCACGGTTTAGACATCCGCCCACTGTTGGATGCGTGGATGGATAAGGACAAGGCCTTCTTCGACTCCTAGGAGAGCAAGGAAGAGGTATGGATGAGAGTGTTTGGAGTAGAGCTACGATCCTCGGTACCCAGCGTGGAAGAGCGCCGACGATTGGCAAAGGAGCATTGACGACGGACTGGCAGGCTTGACTACCATGGTGGAATCTTACATATTCCACTTGCGACCAACACGGCAGCTTCGCTGTTCCTAGGATGGAGATCAGTTCGCCGTCCATGATTTGATGAACGGTTCATGAATGATGAATTCTTTAGGTAGCATACCTTGTAATCGTATAACGGGATTCACGCGCACCTCTATCAAAGGGTCACACATCTTCGCCTCTGTGTTATAACCAATTTGTTCCATCTTTCTAAGCAGTTTTGACCTATCATTTCATCGTAGATAGCCTTGATTACACGTCACGGGGACTGAGGTCATCTTCTGCAAATTATATTCCGTCGACACGCCGCTCCGCTACCGGTACCTACGTCATTATGAACCACACCAACCAAGACACTTGCAGCACCACGGTAATTAGAACAGATCAGAAGTATAAATACTGCCAATATCACCTACGAATTTACATATTTTCAGATTATTTTATCAAACAAAACGATTAGAGCTATCACACATTATGGCACCCACCATCGAACTCCTAATCTCCGCAACCCCTAACGGCCAAAAATATCCATCTTTGCCGAAGAACTACAGGTCCCCTACAAAACAATCTCCATCGACCTCGGCGCCGATGATCAGAAGAAGCCCGAATTTCTCGGAATCAATCCTAATGGGCGCATCCCCGTGATAATCGACCACAACCGCAACGATTTCCCCGTCTTTGAGTCTGGCGCAATCGTCTTGTATTTCGCTGAGCACTATGACAAGGACTCCAAGTTCTCATTTCAAGATGCAAATGAAAAGAGCAAAATGCTGCAATGGCTGTTCTTCCAAAACGCGGGCGTAGGCCCGATGTAGGGGCAAGCGAACACTTCTTCCGTTACGCGCCGGAGAAGATCCAGTACGGTATCGACCGCTACCAAAACGAGACGAAGCGGCTCTACTCTATGCTAGAAAAGCGTCTGAAGGGTCGCGACTATCTTGTGGGTAAGGGAAGGGGCAAGTACAGCGTGGCTAATATCAGTACATTTATGTGGGCACGGTGGGGATTGATTTAGATAAGCTTCCGAGGTTGAAGGAGTGGAGCGATAGGATTGGGGAGCGCGAGGCAGTGAAGAGAGGGCTGCTGGTGCCGAGGGAGGAGGATCAGATTGTGAGGTTGAGGGATCCAAATGTGGAGGACCCGTTTAAGGGGTGGTTTATGAAGCGGCAGAATGAAGTTAAGGAGAAGCATGGGAAGTAAAGATACAGACACAGAACAGTGAAGTGGATCATCTTTCGAAGCACAGAGAGAGTTGTTGCAGTGGAAGAGGAACAACATGTTTAAACATCCGAACGAACGGACTTGCCTGTGTTGATTAACTAATCTAACACTCTACTCAGGTATAAAGCAATCCCCCATTCCAACCAGGTGTGCGTGTAATTAGCCACAAAGAAAAGAAAACCTTATCCAACTCATCATCTCGACATTACATTTACGAAACGTTGACGAACTGACCAATGGCCGGGACGCCGTCAACAAGGACATAGATGACGTAGGGGCCGGCAGGCGCAATGTTCCTGTTAGGAGGCATAGTGACGGTGATGGTCTGGGCGGTGGCGCCGGCGTTGAAGCCGGTGTTGTCGAGGAACAACATGCGGTGACCCATGTGGACGGAGTGGGTGACAAAACCACCATAGTAGAGGTTGACCTTGACAGCCTTGGAGTTGGCAGGGGCGTTGAACTTGATCGTGAACGTAGAACCATCAGCCTTGAGAGCCTTGGTGGAGATCTGGACAGCGGAAGGACGAGTAGGGTTGCCCTGGAGGTAGGGAGGAGTGTAGATCTCGTTGCGGAACTCAGTGACGTAGGGGTCCTTAGCGGTGGGCTGGAGGATGGGCTGCTCGACAGGGTTGGATCCAGAGATCAGGAGGGTACCGTCGAGGAGAAGAAGGGCGACACTGTGGTAGAGACGGGCAATGGTCGACTTAGGGCCAGTGGTGAAGCGCTTGCCCTTGGGCTGGGTAGGGTCGTAAAGGAGAACCTCGAGAGCAGGGTCCTGAGCAACACCGAAACCTTGGGCACCTTCCTGAGCACCGTTGACCCAGGCGATGGTACCATCAGCAAGAAGAGTACCCTCAACCATACCACGGCCCTCAGGCATGGAATCCATCTCCCAGGTGGGGTTGGCGTCAAGGGGCTTCATGCGACCGCAAGATGGGTCACCGGGAGCAGTGATATCCTGGTAGGGGCCACCACCGCAGATGATAACGTCGGGGTTCCACTGATTGGCGCTGGAAAGGGGCATCATGACGGAACCACCAGTGTTGGGGTAGGTGCGGTAGGTACCGGGAAGGTCAGGAAGAGTGCGAACGACGTTGCCGGTGCCGACGTTGAAAATCTCAGCAGACTTTGAGACCTGGACGAAGAGGTTGCCATCCTTCATCAAGTGAAGGAAGGGGTACATGTAGTAAGGCTGGTTCTTGTTGAGGATCTCCATGTTGATGGACTTGCCCTGGGGAGTGCCGTCGGCATTGAGGATCTCGTAGGTAGGGTTGTTGTTCTCAGGCTTGGTAGGGTCGAGACCGTTTAGGGAGCCGGAAGCGACGAAGATCTGGTTGTTAGGCATGATCTGAACGGAAGCATACCAACGAGCAGTGTCAAGCTGTGTGCCGGGCTCGTCCCATGCCTGTCCATCAAGAGAGGCATCAGAAGCAGAACGCTCGAGGAAACGGATACCCTTGAAACCATCACCAACAGTAGGGTCAATGAAGTCAAGAGGGGCGTTACCACCGAGGGAAACAAAGCGTCCATCAGCAAGGAAGATACCGCCAGAGCAGAAGGCGTTGGTTTTGTAGGCCAGGGGAGTGAGCTTTTGGGTGTTCGGGTCATACTCGGAGGAGTAGGCGTATTGGCCGTTGGGCAGCGTGAGCTCGGTGTAGTTCTCGACCTTGTCAAGGAAGACAACCTTTCCGTTGGGCATCAGACCAGCGTGCATGGCAGGGACACCAGAGCGACCCTTGATCTGAATGGTACCAGGCTTGGCAGCAGCTGGAGCAGGGCTGGCCTTGGGGGCAGGGACAGCAGGCGCGTTGACACAAGGACCAGACTGGCAGCCTTCACCGCAGTGAGCAGTGGTGTTACCACAGTATCCGTACATGGAGCAGCAAGATCCCTGAGCCCAGTTACCGCAGATAGTGTCTCCGAAAGTGGCACCGCAGCTTCCATCGGTAGTCTGAACGCCAGTGGGTGTAGTGGGAGCAACCTCAACGCTTGTAGGCTTGCCGAGAACGGGCTCGCCGGAGGTGGTGGTGGAAGGAGGACGGGAAACAGCAGCGGTGGTGGCAGCGGCCTTGGTGGTGGTGGCATCCTTGCAGCCGTTCTGGCAGCCATCAGCAACGAGGCAGTGGCCGTCAGTCGAACCACAGTATCCGTAAGAGCTGCAACACCCGCCGTACGCGCCGTTGGAATCGCAGGTGGCATCGCCGAAGTCCTTACCGCAGCGACCGTCGTCTCTAGCGGGGACAGCTGCGGCCTTGGTGGCAACAGGTGTAGCAGGAGTGTTGTCGCAGCCAGACAAGCATCCAGTTCCGCAGTGACCCTCCTATATAATCGTTAGTCATGAACGAAAGATCTGGCGTTAGTGTTCACTTACGGTATTACCACACCATCCGTACTGCGAGCAGCAAGAACCGCTGTAGACTGTGCTGTTGGGGTCGCAGAGCAAGTTGCCGTAGGCAGGGCCACACTGGCCATCCTGGGAGTACTTGGCCTGCCTCTTCTCCGGAACAACGCGAAGGTGGGAAGAAGAGATCTTGGAGTGGTCGCTCTTGATGTCGGCGACACACTTGTTGTCGTCACCGCAGTGCTGTCCGGTCAGGCAGCGGCTGGGGGCATTGATATCGCAGGTAGGGTTGACCCAGTTGAAGTTGATGTTGGCTGAGGCGAGCCCGGCGAAAGCGCCTAAGGCAAGAATAGAGGTCCTCATTGTTGATAGAGATCTATAATACCAGAGGTAAGCCAATGCTCATGTAAGAATCGAAGTGTTCGTTCAAAAGACCAAACGATCATAGGTGCCGCTCATGAAGAACAGGGGCTGCAGCTGAGTATAGTCGTAGCCGTTGGACCCAGTCTTCATAGTTGAGTGGCTTCGATGTAATGTTTGATGTTGACTATGATGATGTTTGGCGCCCACGTGGTGGTGTTTCCAGCAAACACGTGCCAAGCCATCGACATAATGCCTTTGTTTGTGGGGGAAAGAACCTACCAAGATGTATGATCTCTGAGGTAGTGACGACTCGACGATCAAAGATTCGTAGTCGAATATCAATCAATTCGTATGTAGTCGAAATGTAAGGATAGTTACGAGCACCGTAGGATCGATGCAAGGAAGGTTTCGGTATTAGGTGCGCAAGGCGAGCGAGTGACGATTACAGCAAAGGTTAACGAGTGTCTGAGTACTACTGAAAGTACTCGGGGTGCTGAAGGCAAGGGACTTGACGGTCTGCCTACAACGAGCGTGGTGGGGAGAAACACATGGGAGGACTGCGGTCTTGTAGTTATATCCAGCGTCTCCAGAGCCGTTCAGGCCTCCTCCTGGTCATGTCTCTGACCTTCGCTTCCGAAGTGGAAAACTGGACGCCGTTTCACTGAGTGGTCCAATGAGGAATCCGGAATAAGGCCGAATATGGAAGCAGCGGCAATTTCCAGTAAAGCACGGCCAATGCTAGGGCTGCCAGGGTGTGATCATCGTCAAGGTTGCCATCTATTATTGGGCGTTAGGATTGGTTGGCAAGGTGTCGCGAACACGAGCGTCTGGCAAACGGCATGTTTTGCATGAATAGGAGAGCCGATGGGCGTCTGCTCGAGCTGGATTTCGTAATACCCATTGGTACGCGTCGCTGTGGCTATTGAGCCGTACCGTGTCGCCAGGCCGCAGAGCGTTGTTTGGTTGCGATGGCCACTGCCGTTGACGGCCAGTCACCGTGAAAAGCTTGCCTCCGGTCAGGCGATGGAGTGTAGCGAAAAGCTTAGGTCGGTCAAGCATTGAGCGGCACTCAGTGGTGCGAAGCAGAGATTGCAACTGAAGCCACGCTTTAGCTAAGATAAGGTAGAGTCAGGGGAAAGTGTGGCCATCCCCACACCCACGACAGGAACTGGCCTAGCGCGCCGAGCAAATCTGGAAGCCGCAACTGAGGACTGGGACTCTGGGCAAGAGCCCCAAGAACCTCCAAGACAACACTCACCTCCCTTTTACGTCAGACACATCAGCGCCGAGCAAAAAACACTGCTGTTGTGTTCAGTTCGCAGGAATTTGCTGTGTCCCAAACATAGCATACGAGGCGATCCGGAGCAGGGCGTGCGCAAGCAAGAACCTTTCCCGCGCCTCGTATCTTCACACAAGCCCAGTCCACTTCAGGCCACTGCGCACTACCGCACCAATCGAACATGACAAGCTTTAGTGACAACCGACGGATGGCATGCGGTCGAGGGTAAGCACTGGTGACAAAAACGGCTATTTAGCTTGACGAAGATCAATTGATTGTGCAGCCTGACGTGTCTTCACACGCTGATCGCTGTGCTATCGATGTACCGTCGCATTACCGCCCCGTAATTATGGCAAACATCGTGTCTTTGAGATTGCGCTCATGCGTGTGAATCCAACGTCGAAAGACCGAAGAGGACTCCTGCCAATCTCAGCGAACACGATGGATGACGTCGCTGTGACTAACGGTCAAATGCCGCACTGCTACCGAGGTCCTCGATCTTCCTTCGCACCGGCCCAGGAACCGCCAAACTTGCCCGGACCCTTTGATAATCATTCTCCGCTAGCTCCACCCATCTCCACCACCGGTGCGTACCGTTCAACTCAGGCCGAAGCATCCGCGAGCGTGTGCAGGTAAGGCAGCTCTTCGAGGACTTCGTGCGCATGATGGGCAGATGGTGGTCTCTCTCTGTTGCAATACCACCTCGAAGACCTGGCACTTCTTGTTCTCCGCGAGTGCCTGATCGCCGAATCGAGACGCGTTACCGACCTCAGATAGCGGCATTATTGAGATTCCATCTTCCGTCCTCCCGTCTGGACCATACGCCGTCTGTATGCCGTTTGCCCCCGGAGTACGAGTTTTGGGCGTGTTACTGTGTTTGGTCTTGATCATCCCTTGTACATCACGGTTTGTACACAACGACCCTATTACAGGAGATCCCGTATCATTGGATCTAGATCGAGTTGACGGTTCCTCCTGCGTCAACGGCGTGATGGAAGGGTGTAAAGGGTTCAGGGGATTGTTCGGGTGGGCAACGCGATCGAAGCTGCAGGAGGAGTACTTCGTAAAGAAGCTATCGCCGCATTTCCACTGATTTGTGTCAGCAATGTTCAATCTTAGTGAGCTTGTCGAAGCTTACCACTCGTAGAGCCCAGTGACACATCCTGTCCACTTATTCCCGTAGCTTCTTGTTCTGGTAATAACAATACGACTTGGTAAATTCGAATGTCGGTCCAACAAAGTTCTGCGCTCCACATCGATTCGAGTCTCTCGACCTCGTCTTCATCTCTACCTTCCCCGTCCGCTTCACCGCTCCTTTCTTCGAAGTTGAGCCTGCACGTACTCATGCAGACATCCGTCGAGCATGTGCAAGGCGTTATCGTCTTTGGCCGACGTTATGCAAGTGTTCTCACTACTCTGCAAGGATTAACAAATGGTTCAGGATGTGCCCTTGCGGACAGTCTGCTCGAAAGCCGTCCGTGGAGGTAGTGTCAGGCGCGAGTTAACTTCGTCCAGAGTCTAAGCTGCATGTACCATGTAGACATCCGTCGAGCATATGCTAGGCAGACCACAGCTTTGTCATCTCTAACCGACATCCTGCGAGCTATCTTGCCACTTTACGAAGTTGAAGGTCTAAATGAAATACGTTCTGGGTGAATGCCTTGCTCGAAGACCACTTACAAGGACAGTGTTGGTTGAGGACCGTAAGTCTTTGCTACGCACACGCCTACAATCATACAACAGAGCAAGATGAGATATTACCGAGAGCAACAGTTCGCCACAGCCCTCGGAATGGCATTCGCTTGATCTGTTTCCATGTTTCCCGAAACATCTCCTGAAAAGTGAAGAGGCTTGCCTAAACAGCATCTACCAGGCGTCTGCGAACAAGGACGGTATTCTCTGCATCTTCTGACCGCCACTTCTCACCCATCACCAGCCCTCTCTGTACCACCGTCCCCGCCCAGATCACTATCGCAAACCACAACCAAGACGACGATCAAACCGCCGTGGAAGTGAAGGACGACATGGGTTCTCCATATACATCTGCACCAGTCCTCAAGAAAGCATCGAGGCTCCACAGAGGCGCCTGCCGAGCTTCGTGTAACATTTGCCCACATCGTCCACAACATCCACAACCGAGATTGACGTGCCGCAAAACCCTCCACACACATCTGCGCTGCATAACCGCCCCCAATGCGACGTCGTCTCCAGGCCAGACGACCGCAAAACGGGTACACGGAATCTGCAGCGCTGCACACTTGCTGCACCGTCTGCAGGCCCGGCCTCGAAATGGTCGATGCTGGATGCGTAAGCAGGGGGATTGGGGTGTAAGGTTTGTCTGTTCGAAACCGAGATGCAGATACGATGTCATCTTGCTACAGAGATGGATGGGGAGGGAGTTTCAGGTTGGTGATCTCACCACCACTTCCTCTTGTTTCCATCGTGTCGTTGCTTTTTCGCGAACCGAGGCGTTACACACTGAGAGATATCGCCGCCGCACAGAATTTGACGAAAGTCACTTGACGCACTCGAAGTCATACGTCGTCGCTTCAGCATGAAACTGCCCAACCTCAGAGGTGTAAATGACGTCTGTGCACGTGACCCAGACTTGAGGTCGCACACCTCACCGCCCTACAACCCTGCCCGCGACCCTGCCCTAGGAACGGAAATAGAACAGATGATTAAGCGCCAGGATCTCGCGTCTCGCCTCGACGAGTGGGTTGCGCGGATGCAAGCATACCGTTGCGAGCGTTGGCATGGATGAGGGGTCAAACTTTATACGGTTGAGGAGTTGCGAGTCGGGCTGCCCCTCCACGTCTTTTTGGATGTCGAGGCCTGGGTCGGGGACGGGTGTGGAAAACCTTCGGTGTTTAGCGCTGACGACAGGACGAGGCTGGTTGGAAGTCGTTGGGCGTTGGGTGTTGAAGGGCTTCGAGAAAGTTCGTCGCGTGAGCGGTCTTATGGAGGAGTGGTGGGATGTTTGTTTTGTTGTGAATAACAAGGTTCACCAACATTGTGAGAATTTGAGCCCTCGATCCGTGAGTCTCGAAAATTGTCGCAATCATCAGATAGATGCATTCAAACCGACCAGCGTCGCCAGCTACAAATCTTTCCTAAGCTAGTACCAAAAGCAAAAACATCGCTGCGTCTGGCCGTAGCCAACGCCTTATCGTGATAATGATATCGTGAAGTAGTAAAGATGCCCAATGCAACAAAAACACAATCATGAAACGCCACCTCGTCTTCTTTGCACATTTTCCGACATAACAGTACAGAAGAACACAATCATGAGACCAAAGTCTGAAAACACCCAACACCATCGTATCATCATGAATTTTGATTCAGCATCCGCAGCTGAGGAAGCGAGTCAACCCACTCGGCCTCTTCTTGTGCTTTTTGTATGACTCCCGCACGGTCGAACTTGTTTTTGTCTCGCTGCGCTTGCCCATCCTGCTCTGACTACGTGAGCTTTCTTTGCTTCGCTTTTCCTCGCTCTTGCGATCCAGACTGCTTTTGCTCTTCTTGTCGTGCTTTTCGTGACTGCGGTGCTCCTCGCTGCTGGAGTAGGAAATCTTGCTGTCTGCGCGTGAGCGCTCCTTTTCTTTGCTTTTGAAGTTCGAGGTGCTGACATGGGTCGTGGACTTGTCTTTTCCGCTGCGCTTCCAGTATCCGACAAGGCGCACTTTCTCTTCTCCGTCGGAGTCCCAGTCATCCCATGCGGATGTCGTGTTTTGCGGGCCGTTGTTCACGTGGTAGAGGGAGGGTGGTGATGTGGCGGCCAGGGGAACAGGTGCGTAGTGGTGCAATTGGCTGAGCTCGGAAGGCGTTGCGCTGTTTTGTCGCGTGTAGGATGGCATGATTGCGCTTTGTGTAAGTGAAGATGTCATTTGGGAGAAGCTAGATGGTCGAGTGGAGACACGGGATGGAATGGTTGACGGGGGGCTTGTGGGTGGGTAAGTCGGTGTTGTGGGAATGGAGTACGTGTAAGGCGCATATTGGTGAGCATACTGCAAACGGAGGAAGGGTTCGTTGGGATCAGTTAAGGACGCTTTACGGCTGCGGTTGGCTTCCATGAGATCCTGTGTGTTTGGTGGTGGTCGTAGTGAGTCAAGCCGGACAGGCGGGTTGGTAGGTTTCAATGCAGGTGGGCAGCCTTTGCGCTTTGGCGAACTTGATGGCCGTGAACCTTGTTCCTCCTGTGATGTGGACTTCTCGAGCAAGTGTAGGTCTGTGGATGCGAAGTTCCGAGCTGCCGGGCTGAGAGGTGGTGTGGATTCACCAGTAGGAGAAGGCAGGATGATGGTCTTCTTGCAGCGCTCGCAGATCCCTGAGGCATAAGTGATAGGCTGCTTGCAGCTTTTGCAGGTAGCAACTTCTGTTGATGTGGCGATAGGAGCGTTCCGGAACTTGAAGTCATAGCTTGACCTTGCAGTGGAGCTTGACGACCGTGACCCCTTGCCGACGTCTGACGACGCTGAGTTGCGATGCGGTTGGCATGACTGCGAGGCCCGATCCCTCCTCCTTGCGTTCTGCCTCGCTTGCTTCTCGTACTCATCCCAGGCTCTTGCTGTCTTCGCTGGTGTGCACGGTGCTGGGCGAGGGTCTTTGAACGGTGATGACTTCCTCGACAGAGGTGACGGACGTGTTGGGTTATGGCTCATGATCGAAGTATCCATGTAGTATTTGATTGCCGAAGAGTCAAAACAGTGGAGGAGCAGTGCCGACAGGAAAGGGAGGAAGGGTGAACCTTGGACTATCTAAGGCGCGACTGCTTGTCAGCAAGTCTCGGTAGTTCACACGCTATATAAGAGGTACAAGGCCGGGTTCCCTGGCCCAAGGAGTGCGACAAATTGTTTACAGATAGCTACAGACCAGATTGAGTTGCCAACATCAGGCGGTGGCTGGGGTAGGAAAGGATATCTCAAGTCCAGGGACAAGGGAGAGTTACGTTGGACCGCCTCCCCGGATTATACAGATCATCGCTGTATTAATCTTCCGATGGGCTGCAGCGGCAGAGAGATCTCGGTCTGACGGTGGCTGCGCGGATTTGCGGTGCAGAAGGATTCTGTACCAATCGTGGTCACATAACCCAATAAGAAGGCGTCATTTGTGGCCCGGTAGAACAGGGGAGTGTCGTCGAGAAGAAAGCAAACAAGCAAGGGAGAGCTGACATGTCAATATGCCTTATTGACGCTGGCGCTCTGTCGGCAAGGCTCCAAAACATTGAGACAGCGCCTAGTGCTGCAGCATGCTTTGCAGGTGTGAAGATTTTCAGACCCATGCTGGTTGAAGCTGCCGAACGCCTCTAATGTCGGAACAGAAACAGTGCATCCGCCATGCAGCTAGTGGAAAGCCGTTGTTGCGCAAACTCATTTGTGCGGCGTGGGGACGGACAACGTTAGGCTTGTTGGTTGCTGATGGTAGCCGTACTACAGCATGATTGGGATGTAACTTGCCCGTGACCCAAGAACAATTCACTTGATCAAAGAGATGAACAACAAAAGAGAGGAGCTGAAGCTGAAACACGGCGCTGAGAGTCGAGCTGAGCCGGCAAAAGTGACGTAGGAGAAGTCGAGATGTCGTCGCGGCCTTGCAAAAGGAAGCAAACTTCCAGTCTGCCAAAAAATTGAGACTAGCGAACCGGAGCAAACAAACCCCTGCAAAAGACCCACGCAATCGCCGCAACAACAGATCGTAAGGGAAGCGCTCAGTGCTGCCCATACAATTATACAGGTATTGGGCATAGAACCCGACGTTGCATCTCCTCAGACTGTGGCTATCAGCATCCATGCCGGACGTCTCAGCCACCGATCACGGTGGCGCTTCTGAGGCCATCGCAAGTATAGGTACTTCCATTAAGGACCAGAGGTACGAAGTACTTCGAGCCGCAGAAGTTTGGCACCAAAGCGCTTCCCCAAAGTGACAAGGAGCCGTTCTTAGTAAGGAGGAAGTTCTGGTCGTCGTAGACCCGCAATGCCCCGCCTTGGCGTCTCGTTGACGCTCAGCCCCAATGTTCTCCGCTTCCTAGCTTCTCGACGGACTGTTGTCTACCCAGATCCTCGACTCGTCACTCGCTGGCCCGGTTGCGAACGCCGTTGAAGGCATAATGTTTTCTGCAGCCAGTTATTCAAGCGAAATTGCGTTGAATTGTTTGGCTTCGGCTGCCAGTCAATCACGCAGTAGGGCAACAAGCTCCAGGTCCGGCCAGCCTTATCAATGCGCTGGCAGGCTATGGAGAGTTCATGAGGCAAGAATGAAGTCAAAGTTCGTACCAATTGGGATTGTTACTGCAAACCTCAGCTGCCGTCGTGGGAAAGCAAAGATATTCGCCACTTCGTTCGATAGCTGAACTTTTGGAGCGGACACCAAAGCCTTCCCCACTCCCGGAAAGAGATCCTTTGTTCTTCAGAGCAACAACGGAAGAACGATGTGCTGCATGCTCGCCAGGAGAATTAGAAACAAAGTTTCGCCTATGGGTCTTGGCAAGCTGACCTTGAGGTCATCAACGTTTAATGCCGAGACTCTTCGCTGGAACACGTAACCTGGGCAATATTGCTCGTGTTGTCAGGCATATCCAGTGACCTTCGCACTTGACTTCTAGGTGATTGTAAGCACTGTCTAGAATGATGCTTTTGTAGTGATGTCACGGAGGCTGAGCCCAAGCCAGTACCTTATCAGCATATTTCGCTTAGGAGCAACACCATTCACATTCAGAGTTCAATATTTTGGCACTGTAAGCACAGAGAGTTCTCATACGCAATGATCTGCAGAGTCGTCAGTATCCACGTAGAGTTATGAGGTCGTGCATGTAGGACGCGCAACTCCATGCATCATCCGGCCCCTCACCCCGGGGGTTTTGTACTCACCTTACACAATCAACAAACACGCACAAAAGCATCTGTATCTCAATCAAATCTCCTGTCCGAAATCAAAACCAAAACTCATCCAAGCCTTCATGCATACTTCACCGCTCGACATGTTGATGAGCGCTATTGTATTTTGTTTCGTGCGCTCTTGGCAGCTCTTGTTCACGTGTCTCTGTGAACTTGCTTTGCGCTTCACACTGAGAGTCACAGAGAAAACTCCTGTCGCAGACCCCGAGATGGCAGTGGCGTACGGCTGGTGAAGGAAAGGGGAAGGGAGGCTTATTCTGTTTACTGCGCTTTTGGCATGTGGGAGTCTGAGTAAGTGGTTTTGGTGAACAATACAACAGACTGTAGAGCTGATCACGTCGCCTTGCCAACTAGGTCGCAGTCATCGATCGGATTATAATACAGCTCCACTAGTCTGCCACAACGGAACCCGAACGCGATTACGACTCCTCAATGTTCAGTCAGAATCAGCAATATCCTAATGTCAAAGTTGAGTCATGAACGCACACATCTCAATAAGACGTTCGTCTGGGTTCACTGGAGTGCCGGAAAGGACTTGAGACTTACCAGCATACTGGGTCCGCTGAACAGGCTTTCGAGCAGACATTGTCTCACTAATCCTTCGGCAGACCTGGTACCTGGAATTGCGAGGAACCGTCGAATCGTTGGTCTGTACTTCTGCTGCGGGCGATCGAGACAACGTCTTGGTCTTGCATAGTTGTATGGATCGTGTCGAGGAATGATTGGAGCACACTGGGTAAAGAATGGTGGCAGACCATTTCGTCGCTGTCGCCGGATTTGTGAAGTCCGATTGACGGCCATGGATGGCAATGCTCCGGCCAAAAAAGATCCAGCCCGAATGAGCTATTAGCGCACGAATCTGTTATTGGATAATTATCTTGATATACGTTCATTGATCAGCGAATCTCATTCTGGGCCTACCGTCTATGGGTAGATGCTATGAAGCCCCAGCTCTTGTCCGAGCTTGTTCTATAAGTTTTGTGTGCATAGTTTCAATCTCTGGTATGATCAGGGATTCAATCTCCACTGCTGGTTCGCCTTGTGGAACACCGCCTTGATCACTGACCGACCTGTCAGCCTCTACTGCAACAGTCTTTGCCAGCTGGTCTGCAGAGCCCACGAGCGACTGTACACCAGAGAAACTCTTCGTCCTGCGACTGCAAGGCACTCGAATCCATTTCTCGCCATTGAGTACGGAGACGAAGACGACTTCCCATTTGCGAGTAAGGAGAAGGTTGCCGATAACTAGGTGGTGGGAGTACTTGTTCAGCGCGTATTGCGCTTTTTTGACGAGTATGGAAGGATCCGTTTCAAGCTTGAAGCTCACGATCATGGCCTCGGGTGCCCAACCGTCCACTAGTTGCTTCAGGAACTTAGGCACAGGCTCTAAATCTATGACAAGACTGCGACCCTCGGTGCGGGCGGCAGGTGGTTTGCCATTACCGCTGGCCTCGGCATTCTGCAGAAACTCCTCGTTGGACTGAATCTTGTGCTCCACCATGCGGTCCTGGGGCACGAAGAAGTCGGACACGGCAGCAGCCAGGTAGAACATAGCTTTCGGTCCCAGTGGCTGCATCAGTTGGGCGACTTCGCGCAGGTTCCACAGGTACTCGGTGATGGTAACGTACGACAGAATAAGCAGCTTGTTGTCGCGCTTAGCTTCGTTGTACTGGCGCAGCACGCGCAGCATCTGCTCTTGGTGTTGCTGATCAACAATGACACGTCCATCTTCTTCCCTCATATAGTCGAGGAAGGACCGCGTGTTATGCGAATAATGCCGCGAGTATGGAAGGAGCGAGAACTGGCGATGCAGAAAAATGACAGCGTAGCCGTTCTGCAGGAAGTACTCGGCACTGGTGGCACCACGTGTACCAGCAGAGAAGTTGTCGATAAAGCGCACCGTCTGCTGCTCTAGGGGCACTGTGGTACCGCCTGATGTGACAAGCACGACACGGCGATTGTCGGTGGCATGGCGGTTGATGAATTCGCGAGCGAGCGTCGTGTTCGCTTTCAAGTCTTTTGGCGGTGGTTCGTGGGTGAAGTAAAAACTCTCCGCCTGTTGGGCGCTGCTATCTTCAGCCATCGTCAAGGGACCTGCTACACACGTCAGAAGATGGGTTGAGCTGGCGGGCTGGCGGGGTAGCTTGTCGCCAAGACAAAGAGACGCTACTACTTCATTGGCTAGAGAAGTAGCAAAGCTCTGATGCCTGCAAGTCTGCAAGTCTATCGAATCAAGTCTTCTTTATATAGTTCTGGCTGTAAATCAAGCCTTAGAGGTGGATTTGACTTGAAATACTTGAAAGACTTGATACTGATGTATAGCGGCGGAGTCCGTTATATGTGAGGTTTTCGGTGTTGCTGAAACACTTCTGATTGGCCAAACCTACTAGTTTCTTGTCGCGCATCGCGTCCCCAGCCATCTCAACGCGCGCGTTCTCTTTGTTGATCGCTAGCAACGCCTTATCAACAGCTTACTTTGTGTGTTGTAGTGCCTATTGCAGTCAACTCAGCGCTGACTTTTCAGTGCCTTTGCTTACCTTGTGGCCTTGCTGATAGCCTAACATGCCCCTGAAACGCGCAATCAATGGCAACACACGCTGAAGTACGCGCCAAATGCGCTGTTGAGGCGGCAAACGTCGCAAAATCAAGACCTAGCGGGCTATAGAGGCGGACCAGCTGCTAGCAGGTACCGCCAGTCAGCTGCGCCGCCGTCGCCATCTCCGCCATCAGAGCCTGCCAAAGATGCTGTAGGGGCGACTGCCGACCCGCTTGTTGGCCGGGCTATAGGTGCTGCAGAGCGGCTGCGGGAGCTGCAGGTGCTCGAGTTGCAGGTTATGGCCGCGCCAACATCGGCGTCAAAGGCAGCCACAGAGGCTTCGACGGAGGGTTGCGATGAGGTTACTGGCGGGCTTCAACGCTGAGTTTGCAGATGACTACAATGGCATCAACTGGGATAAGCTGCGCTCATATGTGAAGCCCCAGCGCACCTTGACGGGACAGGGAGAGCTGGGTTTTCAAGCACGGCTAGTGCGTGGCACTGCGGAGGACGTTAGCAGAAGCAGCAGCAGATGTGCCTGAGCGTACCTTCTTTGTGTGCCGCTAGTGTTGCCAGAACGCTCCAACAAGCAGCATTGTGGAGGTATTGTTGGCTACAACATCAGCAGCGAAGCACCTGGCTGTCAATAGATGCGGCCATCGCATAACTCTGCACGGGAAGAAGCAGCTGCTGGCAAAGCTGCCTGGAGGTCAGTCTACTATAATTGACGCGCTGAAGAAGGGAGTAGAGGTTAGCCGCGAGGTTGCCAATCAGCTAGGCAGCTTCAACGTACAAGGTTTTTGGCCTGCTGCTGTGCAGTGGCTTTTAGAAAATAACTACCCGCTGCGCGAGTTTGAGGCTGAGAGCTTCCGGAGGATGCTGCAATTCGCCAATCCTGCTGCTGTTGACGTGCTTTGGACCAACCACTAAAGCGTCTCAAGATTCGTATTAAGACTGTATGATTACCTGCTGCCGATTGTCAAAGCTGAGCTGGCAACAGCAGTTAGCAAAGTTCACATAAGCTTCGATGGATGCACTACAAAAGGCAGCAAACGCGGGTTCTTTGGTGTAGTGGCTCACTACGCTGATGCTGAGGGAAAGATCAAGGACTTGCCTATTGCACTGCCGCAGCTCGCAGGTATCCACAGCAGCGCAGCTATTGGAGAATGTGTCAACAAAGCGCTGGCAACGTTTGGTTTAATGCCGCAGAAGCTGGGTTACTTTGTGTTAGATAATGCTCCAAACAACGATAGAGCTGTAGAGTACTTGGGTCATCTGTGTGGGTTTAGTGCTAGCTGCTACCACCTTTGTTGCAGCTGCCACACACTCAACCTTGTTAGCCAAACTGCTATGTTTGGTAAGGATAAAGAAGCCTACAACAATGACCCTAAGCATGAGAAGGATGAGGAGAAGTCCATGGCTGAATGGCGACAGCTGGGTCTTCTGGGCGTGTTTCTGGACGTTATCAACTACATCAGCACACCAAAACAGTATAACAGCTTCTCTACTTTCCAGCAGCTCGCGCTGGCTGAAGACCCTACAAATATCAGCGTGCTGCTATTGGCTGTAGTCAAGGCCTGCGTCACCCGCTGAAATAGCTGTTGTGCTGCTTTTGAGCGCAAGCTCATCCTCCAACCCATCACTAGCTACGCCAAACACCACATTGACAGGATAGCTGAAGCCGATCGAACAGCGCTCAAGAACATCACCAAGTTGCCAGCTGCGCCAGCGTGGATGTGATTAGACGGTTTCACAGCAGCAGACTGGGCGGTGATAATGGACTACGTGGATGTGTTGAGGCTGCTGAAAGTAGCTACCCAGCGGCTGGAGGGGTGTGGGAAGAAGGGCGATTGTAAGTTCAATGGGCGCTTTGGTGATATTTACGAGGTTATCCCTACGTTTGAGCAGTTTATAAGCGCCTTTGAAGAGCGCTTATTCACTTACAGAGATGTTGACTTTGAGCAGCCTGATGCTCCGGAAGACCACCTGGCCATAAACCTGCGCGCTGCCATTACCAAATGAAACTCTATTACAGCAAATTTAGCCAGTCCCCTGCCTATTACGTCGCAGTGTCCTCCATCCCCGCTGTCACTCTATAACCATCCCACAGCTCTCCGCCCGCCCCCGAGGCCTCCACAGTCACGCACCAACACTATTGACGACGCTGTCAACGCGATAATAGAGGCGGGGAGCGACGATGAGGCAGTCTCTTGTGATGAGTATGAGCACTGGCATGCTAATGAGCCGCGTTGGAGTTGCGAAGATTTTGAGCGAGAGGGTAATCCTGTCAGGTACCGGCTCGGCTTACGCCATGAGTACCCAGCGTTAGCGCAGCTGGCGCTCGATATAATGACTATACCTGCATCTAGCAGCGATTGTGAGCAACTTTTCAGCGAGCTAGGTGACCTATTACAGACAAAGCGTTGCAGAATTGGAGCTCAGTTATTGGCTGCTCTTCAGTGTGTGCGGAACTGGCTGGCAGCAGGTTTCATGGAGAGCAATGACAGGGTTGATGAAAGTACGTTGACTGACTCCCCTGTTGACGTCCTATACAGTGTATCTACATGGAACGCTTCTCTGCTATAGGTACAGTACAACAACAAGATTTTATAATGGTTGCTGAAATGTACAGACCCCCCTGAACTTGGTTCGCTACTGCGACAGACTTATGTTATGTAAGAATAAAGGCTTCTAAGTGGCTGTTTCTATTCTGGTTGACAGAATTGACATTTTGTTACATGTCCTGCAGGGCAACAACGTGGTGAACGGCCACTCACAAGGCTGTCTGCCCTTACGAACCATGGTACGTACCTACTGTACGCATCACTGTACCCAGACCAGTGGGGTTTGCACATTTTTGCAAGCACCGATAGTATACAGCAGCATATATACTTCCAAATCTATCAAACAAGTCCAGTCAAAACACTTATCCAGTCCTCCAAGTCAAATCACGCGTCACTGATTGGCAAGTCCCAATCAAGTCTACGCTCAGATTTGACTTGACTTGCTTTTTAACAAGTGTGTCAGTCACAACATGCCCCACCACCTTTTCTCCATGAAAAACACAACAATATGCTAGACCTCAGACAGTCAGATGATCTGGACTTCCATACGCACTTCATACCCGTCAAGTTGCGTGAAAGAACTCCCACTGACTGCGTCAATCAAAACCTCAGCATCGCCGCTAGAGTTTAGGTCATGATTCCGTAACCGGCCGGCCTGCATAACCAGACCAATCGAGCTCGGTTATTAGAGATGCTGCAAGAATGATCAGGTTGTATGCTGCTCAGATGCTCCTTTGACGATCGTAGGTCGATCTGGGTTCGGCCTTGTTCTCGCCAATCGACGTCTACCAGACCCTTTCAGCAATCAGATTCTGCTGTTTTTGCCATGGCTTAGGGGTACGTGGCTGATGAGTTTCGATCCCCACGGCGTCTTTGCAGACTGCCACAATCGCGTTCCGATCAGTTAATTTGTGCATTGCTTTTCGTCTAGCAACGCTTAACTCCAGAATGTTCTGTCCGAACTTGCCAGCTTCAGGCGCCAGCGGATCCTCGAAACTGCCAATCCCTAGGCTGTACAAACAACGCAGCGAGCTCCCTCGCCAGCCTGTTCTGAACCGACAGAACCGCGTCAGTCGAGCGTGCTTGAGTTGTAGGTCGCGCAAGGTTAAGTGCAATGGACTGCAACCGCGATGTTCGAATTGCAGCAAGAATGTAACGTCGTACGTGTATGCATCAAGTCGCAAGGATCGACTCAATACGTGTGTGGCAGCATTCACAATTAATCCTGGTCACTGAACGCGACAAGGCTACCTCACACAATCAGGATATGATTGCTTTACTGTGAGATCTATGACAGGAGGTATCGAGTAAACGACAGACTCGCATCGACGATCTGCTCACAGGCGTTAGTCGTACCCACAACAGTGCCAAGCAGTTGACTGATTGACGCAGGTTGTTGAAGATGTTGTTGATACCGCAGCTACCGTTCAAGACCCAACAGAGAAGTACCGCAAACCGATTGTCGAAGAAGAGCGAGGTGAGGCCAATGCGAGCGGAGAAGTTGGCAGCCCCGGAGAAACGGACCTACTTGACAAAACCCTTATTCGGAGTAAGGAAACAAAGGCTACTGGCTTTATCGGCAAAATATATTAAGATCCAATGGCTGCACAAGTTGCACAGAGTAGATACCTCCCATCCGTCTGAAGCCGGCCCGTGGGGCCACCTGGCGATGACGACGAAGCAGTCGACAGTCGTTTGGCCGCAACCCGGGAGAGACACGGCGACCATCCTACACCATTAATGCAGACCAGCAAGGCGAGCTTTTATCTGGACGATGTGGTGTTCGAGACAGATCTGCTGGTTGATCCTTTCGAGATGCCGCAACTCGAAACTGCTGAGAGATTGCTGCAAGCATATACGGAGAGTGTGCACAACCCATTTCCGTTCCTGGCAAAGAAAACATTCGTCAACCGGTTCTATCAATGTGGGTCAGATCAATCTGCTCCTAAACCACACATTCAGGGTCCCGATGCCGATAGATCATCCCTTTTCTGACCACTCACAGACTATGCTTCTTTACAAAGCGGTAACCCACACAATGTACCTCGAAAATGGCAAGCAACCCTGAACCTGGTGTTCGCCATCGGCGCGGTGTAAAGTCATCTGACCATGGCTGATTGGCGTGCAGATGATCGAGATCATTTGGTATACCATTCTCGAGCGTGGCCCTTGAATTCGAGATACCTTCGGTGGTTTTCTCATCCGGATCGCCCACGCGTGCAAATCACAGGTGAAGCTGCATTTGTCTTGTACAAAAGTTTCCTTCATTAACCCGGCGTAGGGCTTCTGTCGTTCTATTATCTCAGTATAGGGCACATCAACCGGTCGGTTCTGGGCCTTTCTGTCACAAGCTGTCGATTTTACTGACTCAATCCAGTTCTTGGGTCCTTCTCGGCAGCGCAATGCGTTCTGGTTTTGTTTTAGGTTTGCATCTACGCAATGAGGACGGCAGCACAGGTGTTGCGAGGAATGAACTCTAGAATATGATGGGCGCACTACGCCCTCGAACGGCTCGTCTCGGCCTTGACTGGACAGCCGAGTCTGGGTATGGGCCATCTATGTTCGGTTCCTCTCCCTCTTCCCTCTCGTCTGAGGATATTGAGGAGTCGATAATCGAATTCAGATTCGGTAACAAAGGATAAGGACCTCTGTTCGCCAGCGGTCCGTTGCAGCATTTGCTCACGGTCCGCTGCACTGATTGTCCAGCTCATTCGGTTAGCTCGGGTTTGCTACCATACCCGCTCACGGCTATTCCCTTCTACTATATAGTCCCGATCGATCCTCGCCATAGCTCAAAAGATGAATCAATCATCTCAACCCTTCCACAACCTCTGGTGCCTCAAAGATCTCTCAAAACCTCACAGGCTGTGGATTTCTCAGCTGAACGGTGAACTTGACGCTTGGGCGACAGCTCTCCTGAAGGATTCAACTTCCTCCACAGGTCATATGTCACTGGGCATCGTTACGGACGTGAACAGAATACTCTTGACATTATGTACTATAGCATAGAGATTTTGATCGTGTGGCCTTACCTCTGCTGAATCGACTGCCGGTTCTCGAACCAGACAGCGAGCTCAAATTCCTTCAATCAAAGAGCGGCACTCATATGCATTGGAGCAGTGAAGTCCGTTACGAATCTTCTACCCGATGCTGCGCCGAACAATCTTGTCACGTTATATCAGGCTAGACCGTGGTGGCAAATGGTCCATGTCATCATGCAAGCTCTGGGGGGTTTACTCCTTGAGATTATGCTCGAGTCGAAGTACTTCCCCGACGACCGCCAAGATGTCATTCCTTCGCTGAAGGAGCTGCTGCGTCAGTTGCGCATCATGCGGGTGAACAACGGAATGGCTGTTCGAACATATTTCTCATTGTTGGGTCTCACGAAGAAGCTAGCTTCTACTACCAAGTTTGTAAGCGCCACTCTTATTTTCTGCTGCTTTTATAACAACAAATCCGCCCTCGAGCAAACCCTGTGCCTCTTCTCAACGTACTCGAGTCTATCGCCATGTTGGTATAATTGAGCCGCGCCTAACGTTTGGCTAGGACATCACAGATCTCATCAACGAAGATTAGGTGATGACATCACCGGCAAACCCAATTCCAGCGCCTTCCGCCCCAGCTCAGATTCACACTCCCTATCCGGACGCTCCCAACTCGGTCGATGAACCACACACTAGCAGGCCGTCACCCGCAGCTCCACAGCAACATATGTATGAAGCACCGTCGCGATCCCGTTATTCTTCGGCATCATCGCAATATCAAAACCCTCATCTCACTCCGACTACCGAGACATTTCATCTACCACCCAGTCATGTTGATTACGATCCGGAATCGAACCTCAGCGCCTACGACGATATGTTCTTCGCTTCCTCTGGATTTGAACAGGTTGTTTCCCGTGATGGTTCATCACCAACTTCAATGAGCACAGTCTGTTGTTAGGATTTGGATTCGGAGGTGAGGCCTTTAGAGTCATATACATGGAACGGCTCGCCAAACTGCCATACCTCAACGCATGCATCAAGAGAGCTATGAGACTATACCCTTCGGTCCCAATATGGTTCTTGCATCTCACTCCCGCAGGAGGTTGCCGCCAGGCATCACTGTCTCTGCGCCGCCTCACTTGCCGACGTACACACCATCCGAAAACTTCACAGATCCACTGCGCTTTATCCCGGAGCGCTGCACTGGCGATGAGCGGTTCGTTGGAGACAAGAGAGCTGCAGTGCATCCATTTTCTGTTGGCTCACGAGACTGTCTGGGCAAGAAGCGTGTATATACATAGGCGAAACTTGACGATAACGGCTAACGAAGAGTATGGTATGGCAAAACACGAAATGCGGTTGATTCTTGTAAAGGTACTGTGGTCTTTTGACATTGAGCTCTGCGAACAGCAGGGCGATTGGCTGGACCAGAAAGTGTTCTTGACTTGGGAGAAGATGCCGCTGATGGTTAGATTGAAGACAGCAGAAGGGTAAGGGTAGCAAGGCGACACTGGGTGGAGAAATGCTTGCATAGTCGAAGCAACATACTCTATTATGTTTACTGTGTCGCCCTAAGATTCGCTTTAGATGACGTTCTTCAACTCCTGCCCCGCCAAAAACTTCCTCAGGTTCCACGCAATCAAATCCTCAGGGTCCTGCGGCCTGCCACCTGCAGCATGCGGACTGACGATCGTGTTAGGTGTCTTGTACAGCCTGCCGCCCTCGGGGTAGGGTTCTGTCTCGAAGACATCGAGCGCCGCACCCCCAATACTGCCCTGCTCCAGCGCGTTCGCCAGTGCCTCCTCATCTACACTCGTGCCGCGTCCGACGTTGACTACCCAGGCGTGGTTCGGCAGGAGCTTTAGCCTCTCGGCATTGAGCGCGTGTTTCGTCGCATCGCTGCCGGGCAGAATCATAACGAGCGCATCGGTCTTGGGCAGGATATCCTTAAGGTCGTCCTCAGCGTATATCTCAATACCATTGCGCACGCCCTTGCTCCTCGCCACGCCCTTGACATTCGCACCCAGCGCGGTGAGCCAGGGCGTCAGGCACTTCGCGATATTCCCGAATCCCCAAACCACAACGTTAGCGTCTTGCAGCGTTGTGAACCTGCCCTGCGGCCTGTCCGGCTGCGGTCCACCAAGGTGCCCCGGCCACTTGCCCTGCGCCTGGAAGTCGCGCATCTCGTAGAAGCGGCGCGCAGCATTCAGCAGCAAACCCAATGTGTGTTCGGCAACGGTGTGGTCGTGCAACCCGCTTCCCGTCGTAATCGTGATCTTCTCGGGGTTGAAGCCCGCCCCGAGCACGTCGTTAGGCCCAGCAGCGAGGGATTGGATCCAGCGCAGCTTTGTCAGGCGCTGGGCCGCGTCCTTCAGGTTCGCAGCCGTGTTGGTCCAAGTGACCAGGATCTCGGCGTCGGTGTGTTCTTCAGGGATGTTCTCTTTCACATTGTACGGGACAAGGTCAACGGAGTAGCCCTCGAGCAGCTTGGGGTCGAGCGCGAGGGAGGTGGGGTAGAGAAGCTTCGGCATTCTGAGTGTCTGGGGGGAAGTGGTGTAGAGTGCTTTTCGCGGTATGTGGCCTGAGATTTGGCGGAGGCGGTGCATTGGGAGACAGTAATTGGGGGAGAGAAGTTTATGGGGGACGCGCGGGGGAGGAGCTCTGTATGGCGTCAGTTGCCGACGAGCGGTCGGCGTTTGAACGTGGGGCTCGGGGATAGGGCCGAGGTGCGTGCTTAAGCCGGACGGAGTATCTTTCCACGAGTATGCGCCACAAAGGTATAGTTGGCAAAAATCGACTCAATAGCTGTTGGGGACTGTGTAATATCCGTCCTTACGTGCCGGGACGCACGGTGTAACGGGACAGGTTTGCACTCCGGACCTTCAGAGTCTCTTGTTCGCATGTTTACAGACCTGTGGTTGACATATAGTAGAGACCGTGCAGTAGGAGCTCAGGCACGTGACTGTAGGCCTCTTTGACGTCTCATCCCTATTCACTGTAACCATGGTTCCTTTCTTGACTGCATATCTAGAACAAGTCTAGTGTTAATTACAATACAACTGCAGATGGTGACATCTGAGCACGCTACTGCAGGCTGTTCCGCCTGCTAAGGCGTATTAGCGCATTCCACCACGATGGGTCGCTTTTCACGATCTTCATTCCCAACTGGCGAAACTGCCGGACTGCACACTTCTTTAGTCCAAAACAATTCTAAGGCCTAGGGATGTAATCTTGCTCAACTTCACTTTCTATCAGACCTTCGATTCTCACGGAGATCCCTTGGGTCGCGAATGGACAGGGGGGTATTGACAAAGGGTCGATTGACGGCGTTGACAAAGCAATCGACAGCAGGGCCAACATGGCAGCAATCATTGCCGGAGGCTGACAGGCTGGAGGCGAGTTGGCTGAACAACGTTCGCTTACGTCCACGCTCAAACAATGGTGTAAGACAGAGAGACAATGACGGCGTAGGAATAAAACAAACACCGGAGGTGAGGAAATAAACACCGGAAGTAGGGTGACTTCAAAAGGAAAAAGAGAAATCCAAGCAAGATGCTCAACACACACGCACCAGCGCTTATTGAGGTGCTGTAGCTCTATGACAGCCACACCATAAAAGAGATCGTGCTCCAGTTGCAGCTGCACAGTGAGTGAAACGTAGTGATACGTCGATTTTACCAGACATTCCTCAGGATTTACTTTTGCTCTTCTTAGGCTCAAGTTTACCGTACTTAAGTTAGACTAGCTTACATCCTTACACTCTGACTCCCCACACTTCACCGCCAGTGTTGCTTTCACAACCAGATAGGCGCAAAATCAGAAAACACATGCCATGGCTTCCCTACTCTGTGATGCTCTGCATGTACGACAAGGCACGCTCGGACACTAATCGAGACAGATGGGTCTCTGACATGGTGGCTCTTTTGACCTCAACGACGTGCTCTAGCAGCTCCACTGCCTCTCTTGTCTGCCCGTTATCCCGGTATGCACCGGCAAGTGCGTGCTGCGATGCCAGCCGATCCGGGTGACTCTCGTCTAGCGTAGTCTCTTCGACCTTGACGACGTGCTCTAGCAGCTCCACTGCCTCTCTCGT